CAAACTCACACACACACACACCATACACCACACACGCACACACACACACACAACACCACTCACCACACACACACACCAAACACACACACAGACACACCACACACCACACACCACATACCACACACACACCTTACACACACACGCACACACGCACACACGCACACACACAAACACAAACACAAAGACAAACACAAACACAAACACAAGCACCAACACAAACACAAACACACAGACAAAGACAAAGACCAACACAAACACACACACACACAAACACACACACACACGCACGCACGCACGCACGCACGCACGCACGCACACACACACGCACACACACACGCGCACACGCACGCACGCACGCACGCACGCACGCACGCGCACGCACGCACTCACGCACGTACACACGCACACACGCACACACGCACACACACAAACAAAAGCACAATCACAAGCACACACACACTTACACAACAACTCAAACACAAACACAAACACAAACACAAACTCACACACACCATACACCACACACGCACACACACACACACACCACACACCACTCACCACACACACACACCAAACACACACAGACACACCACACACCACACACCACACACCACACACCACACACACACCATACACACACACACGCACACACACGCGCGCACACACACACGCACACACGCGCGTCTTCCTCGGCACCTGCTTGCTTCGTTGCGCGTGGGCCGCGGGCTCACCGGCCGGCCGGCGGCGGCGCATGGAAGAGGACCGCGTGCAGGGCGAGAGCGGCCCTCTCGGCTCGGCCGCGCCGCCACCCCGGGGAGCCCCACGGCACTGCCCCTGGCGACCGTTGCGGTGCTCTGCCATGGCGTGGCGGCGGGCACTGCGCGCGCCACCGCTGAAGGCATGGGCAGCGCTTGCGCGAGCGCCGAGGGGAGGAAAGGGAGGAGGGGGGAGAGGGAGGGGAGGGGAAGGGGGTGGAGGGGGGGAAGGTGGAGGAGGGGGAAGTGAGCAAGGGGTAGGGTGAGGAGTGAAGAGGGGGGAGTAGGAGGGGGGGAGGGGGAGGAGGAGGACGCGTAGAACGTGGAGCAGGAGTAATGGGATGATGGTTGATGGATGCTGGATGATGGAGTGGATGAGGATGATGATGATGATGATGGTGATGATGATGATGATGATGATGATGGTAATGATGATGGTGATGATGATGATGATGATGATGATGGTGAGAACGATGATGATTAGGAATATGCTGCTGATGATGCTGCTGGTGAGGACGATGATGGTGATGATTATGACGATGATGATGACGATGATGGTGATGATGTTGATGGTGATGATGATGATGACGATGATGATGGTGATGGTGATGGTGATGATGATGATGAAGATGAAGATGGTGATGATGGTGATGATGATGATGATGATGATGATGATGATGATGATGATGATGATGATGGTAGTGGTTGTGAAGATGCTGATGATGACGATGATGTTGGCGGAATGCACAACTTTCAGGGTGGCTGGTCCCTGTATCTGCACATTACCGTGTTAATGAGGGCTCTCGAACAGACGATGGTGATGAGGAAGGGGGAGGAGAAGGAGAAGGAGGAGGAGGAGGAGGAGGAAGAGGAGGTTCGGCTCAGCCGTCCTCGAGGGAGCAAATCAAGCTCACAGTTGCCAAGCGAATACTAAGCCATTGCTGTCACAGTCAGGCGAGGAAGGAGGAGGAGGAGAAGCAGAAGGAGGAGGATGAGGAGGAGGAGGAGCAGGATGAAGAGGAGGAGGAGGAAGTGGGGGGAGAATCATGATCACAAAGCCATCGGCTCAAAGGGCACCCGCACCCATATTTGGGTATAAGGCGGCCATCAGAGAGCCACTGAAGGGCATTAATGTGACTGTAAGGCAGTTCTTGATCCATTGGTCAGCAGAATCCAAAACATTCGTACAATTGGCGGCATGGCAATCAACTGTCTGAACGCGCGGGGAGGAAACTAACATCTCCCTTTTACATGCCAATGGCCGTGACGGATCTAGTCCATGGGGATTGGCCGCCCGAGGCGCTCTCGGCGAGGCGCAACTGCTGGAGAGCATCCCGAGGCTGGAAAGCAGCCGAGCACCGACGCACACGTCAGAAAACCTCGACCTCCTGAAACTCCTTGCAGAATCCTGGGGCCCAAGCGGCTCGGGCCGCCCGAGCCCGACGGCTTTGGGCGGGTGCATGCCGCGCCCCAGCCTGTTCAGCGGGCGCCCCTCTGCGCGTGCCCCGCCGACACTGGGCTGAAAAGGCCTGCTGAGCACCGCCGCCGTCCCGGCCGAGGAGGGCCGAAGGCCACCTACGACACCTGGCCGGACGGCGCGCCAGTCCACATCCAGAGGCGCACCCGGGCTTCCAGACTGCTTTCGTCAGTCTGCGTGGATATACGGCGTGATGTGTTACACCGTCCGAGTGGGCGGCTGGGGCCCCCTGTCCCGACCCCGCTCCGCAACTGGCAGTGTCCTGGCCGAGGAGGCTGCGAGGGCGCCCTCGGTGCGGCAGGGCCGCCACGGAGCCTTCGGCACGCCGCGGAGTGCCCCCCAAGGCTCATGCTAGCCCTGAGCGGCAGGAGGGGCTGCCGGGTTCTCAAGGGCCTGGGCCCTCGGCTCTCCGGCCGCTCCCGGGAGCTGCTGGGAGCTCCTGGGCTAGAGGGCAGCACGAGCTGCACAGTCGTACACGTTCGGACCTGCTCGGATCGGCGCTGCCCCCCCCCCCCCCACCCGGGGGGGGCACGCAAGGGGGGGGCGCAAACGGCGCCGCCTTGGGGGCCCAGCGCCGATTCAAGGAACCCGCGCGGAGCTCCGACGGCATGTGTATGCAGATGTCCTCTACACAGGCTTGCAGATCGGAGTCCTAGCTCAATCCACAAAGAATTGGTCCGCTGTTCTGCCCCTACTGCCCCAAACCGGTTGCAATGGCTCCCTGCGATGGCACCGACTTCCTTTGCTGTTGCAATGGTTTCCTCTGCTTGCAATGCATTCCGCTGCTATTACAATGGTTTCCAGTAGGGAAGGGACGACTAGATGAGAATAGTCGAACATAATCGGGTAGCGTAGATTCGAACAGCGTGCAGTAGAGGAGAGTAGAGTAAGGCCGAGTAGGCGTAGAGTATGGGTAACATCTGATGGAATAGGGTGGTTCTGCGTAGAGTGCGAATAGGTTGTGGTAGGGTAAGGTCGGCTGTAATAGAGCAGAACACTAGGTATGATAGAGCCGGGTATAGCATAGCAGACCCAGATGTACTTGGAAGTTTGTTTTGGAGCGTGGTCGACTATGCCCGAATCCTTAATAACGCGGAATAATATTCGAGCTGAAGCATTGTGGGTTGAGGCAGAGTAGGTTCGGGTCGAGTAGGGTATAGCACCCTTGAACAACGCAGCGTAAGGGGATCGTACACAAGATCCGAATGAGGGTGGAATAGCGTAGGGTATATTTGAGTCCAGTTTGGGTAGGTTAGGGTAGAGTCGAGTAGGGTCTCGTAGAGCAGAGTACACGGTAGAGTATGTTTTGGATAGCACGGAATATATTAGAGCATGATCAACAGACTAGAGCGCAGTCGCCTAGAGTACATAATATTTCATTAGCGCAGAGTGGTGTCGAATCGGCGTGGGGTAGAGTTGGAATTGAGTAAAGTGATTGGAGCAGGTTCGGGTCAGGTAGAGCAAGGTCGAGCAGAACATACTAGTGTAGATGGTAGAGCAGAGTCCAGAATCACATAAGAAATAATGTTGGAGTCGAAAATGCTAGAGTCGAGCAGAGAAGAGAAGAGCCGAGTAGAGTAAGTGTAGAGCCTGAGTCGAGTAGGGTAGACGCGAGTAGAGTAGCGTTGGTCAGGGTAGGGTAGGGTCGAGCGGATTGTACAGTGACGCCGGGTATGATAGAGTAGAGTTGAATGAAGTAGATCAGAGGATCATCTCTTAGAGTAGACTGGGGTAGGCGTAGACTGGGGTCGAGTAGAATAGGGACGGGAAGAGTAGGGTAGAGCAGAATAAGTGAGATGGCCGAGTTGAATCGGGTATAACATAATACACTCGATTAGAGTAGAGTTGAGTCGAGTCCACCACAGCCCAGTCCAGTCGATTCAAGTCTACTTTACACCAGACCACACCAGTCCACTTCATTTCAGTATCCTGATCTATCTGGAGTCTGCGCTGGCTGGTATTCCTTCTTCGCATAGAGCATAATACCAGCCCTGTGTCGAGTGGGCAAGCCTGGGACAACCACGCGGGGAGTGGTGGTAGCAGGACGAGGTCTACGACCAGAGCTGCTGCTGATTCTGGCGATGATGGTGATGGCACCGGCGACCATGATGAGGATGCTGATGATGATGATGATGATGATGATGATGATGATGATGATGATGATGATGATGATGATGATGATGATGCTGCTAATGATGATGCTGCTGAAGATGATGATCATGCTGATGCGAATGATGATGCTGCATATTATGCTGATGATGATGGTGCTGATGCTGATGTTGATGGTGATGATGATGGTGGTGATCATGCTGATGCGAATGATGAGGATGATGCTGCAACTGATGCTGATGACGATGGTGCTGATGCTGGTGATGATGGTGATGATGATGATGATGAGGATGATGATGATGATGATGATGATGATGATGATGATGTTGATGATTCTGATGATGCTGCTGATACTGATGATGAGGATGAGGGAGACGATGTGATGACTGTAGTTGTGATTGTAACGACGGAGGTATATGTAATGATGGTGATGACTAGGCGAAGGAGGAGGATGAGGACGAGGACGAGAGGGAGTATTAGGAGGAGGAGAAGAAGGAATCAGAGGAGGATGAGGAGGACGAGGAGGAGAAGGAGGAGTATGAGGAGGAGGAGGAAGAGGAATCAGAGGAGGAGGATGAGGAGGAGGAGGAGGAGGAATCAGAGGAGGAGGAGGAGGAGGAGGAGGAGGAGGAGGAGGAGGACCAGGAGGCAGAGGAGACGTCCTCCTCCAGCCGCTGCGCCTGGGCCACGGCCTCGTCCAGCTGTCTCGACAGCATGTGCTCCCCGAGGCTTCGAGCCGCTTTTTGGCACGGGAAGGGTGGAGGGCATTGTGTGTGGGGGGGATGGAAGGAGGAGCGCACGTGACCCGAAGAGAAGAGAGCAGGCGGACAAGAGCAATAACGAGAAGAGGGCAGCACGAATCCTCGAGTCTCATGTCAGCAGAGCGGCCAAGCCTGGGCGACGCCGCTGAGGGGGGATGGAATAGGATAACAAAAAGTGGCATAAACATAAAAACTCGGAGGTCCGCGAGGATTTCTCGGATCCGCGCTGGACCCCCCTGGCGGCGCCTCCGGCGCCGCCCCTGGCGCGCTCCGCGCGCCAGGGAGGGGGGTCCAGCGCCGATCCGAGAAATCCGCGCGGACCTCCGAGTTTCTATGTTTATGCCACTTTTTATTCCCCTATGGAAGGAGGAGGAGGAAGAAGAGAAAGGAAGGAAGGACGGAGGGAACGCGGGAAGGAAGGAAGGAAGGACAGAGGGAAGAGGGGAATGATCATAACTCCGCCGCGGCGGGAGTCCTGACTGCGCCAACCCCGCCAACCCTCGACGGCTACCTGGTTCCAGCGCCGCGCCCAACCCCGCAGCCCGGTCGAGGAGTGCAGAGGGGCGGCATCGCGGCCCGGGATGGGGGGAGGGCCAAGGAAGAGACTGGGGCAACGCTCCTGCTATCTCCTGCGCGGGAGGCTCCGGACAAGGGCGCCAGATGGCGGCTCCTCGCCGGATCGCGCGCGTGGCTCATGCCGCATGCCGGATGGACGTGAGAAGGATGGCCGAGGAAGCTGGCAGCCTCAGCTGGTGTGGACTGCCGCGCCAACTCTCGATAGCGCACCACTCGTCGTGGGGTCCCCCTCCCGTCCCGTCATCGTATGGCGAGGGTCGCGGACCCGAGGACGCTGGCTACCTTTGGCAGCCCGCACTGGGAGGTCAAACGTGGTGTCCAGAGCAGCGCGATCAGCAGGGCCAGCCCACGAGAGGCTGGCCGAGGAGGACGACGAGGCGTCGGAAGAGGACGAGGAACAGCCTTCACCGCACAGGTGTCAACGCTCTCCTCGGTGAACGCCAGGAGACTCTGACCCCTAGAGTGGCAGAGCGAGACGAGGAAGCTGACGAAGAGACGGATGACCAGGCTTCCAGAGAACCCAAGGAACACGTCTTCACTGTACGTTCTTGCCGTCCTCCTTGTGAAGACGGGCAGCCACATACAGCTATAGAGATCGAACGCGTGCTCCACGCACCCCCCCCGGCTTCTCGCCTGGAAGTGCCTCGCACGAGTCTGCGTACACGTGCGCACATGGATATATGCGCACATCCCCATCAGCACTCGCACTCAAAGTTGTAGGCGACACACATGCGCGAACATCCCCGTCAGTCCAAAATGCCGCAGAGGGGACATCGGGTGGCCCAACACGTCTCGGTGTGCCCCCCCCTTGCAGCGGCACGAATCATTTAGACACGCGCAGCCTGACTGCACAACAGAGTGTACAAGCCTGTTCCGAGGGGCCACGGCTCACACAACACGATGACGCAGAGTCTCTTTCTATCCTGGTTCGTGGGGACACAACAGTGTGACTCTTCTGACGCTCGTACCCCGCGAGTGCGTCTGCCTCCTGCCATCAAGCACACGTCCCAACGAGGCCTGATGTTTCCCCCAAAGTGCGGCCGTAAACCACGCAGGATGGCCGGTGTGCTCCGAGACGAGCCACGAAGCCGGGAACACTCTCGGCGGCGAGGCAGCAGAGCTGCACCAGCGGTGCAGCGACCGGGGCGACCGAAGCGCGAACTGACCAGCATGCAGGAAGGGGGGAGAAGGCAGACGGGACTCCTCCTTCTTCTTCTTCTTCTCCTCGTCCTCCTCCTCCTCCTCCTGCTCCTCCTCCTCCTCCTCCTCCTCCTCCTCCTTATCCTCCTCCTCCTCAGCGCCCCTCTAACGGGGACTCCGCTAACGGGCACTTTGGACAGTGACCCGCCGAACCCAGTCCTCCCAGACGTGGGCAACGCCGCAATGCCAGAAAGAGGCGCTAGAGCGGCAACCTGCGGCAATGTTCCGAAGTACCCGTCAGCGAGTACCCGTTACGGTGCCGCTGAAGACAGGGCGGCCGCGAAGGACCGGAGGAGGCGGAGGGCACCCAGATGCGGAAGAGTTCTACACCGAGCGGGACGGCGCGGCCAGCAGCGGCAGCGGGGACCGCGGCATCGGCCGAGCCGCGGCGTCGGTGCATCCACGGGCGCTGCCGATGCCCAGTACGCGGTGGAGCAGGCTGAGGCTGGAAGCACACGTGGATGGATTCACATGTCAAGCATCCAGGGGCCACGCGCTGGACGCACGTGCGGAAGCCCAACGAGCATGGACTTTTTTCGTCGGCGGCGAGGCAGATGAGCTGCTCCAGCGGTGAACCATCGGGGCGACGGACACGCGAATTGGTCGGCGTGCAGGAGGGGAGGGACAAGACAGACAGGGCGGCCGCGGAGGACGGGAGGAGGCGAAGACAATCCAACGTGCCTGGGCACACGAGGGCCGAATGCCGGAAAGGCATCCGGCCACACGTGCATCCAGCTTTTGTCGAGGCAGGCCATGTCACGTAGATCCAGCTCCCTTCTACGATGCCAGGGAGGGGGGATGGGGATAGCACAGGGAGCGTGATCCAGCGTCGCTGGCTGGAACAATTTCTGCACAGGGGGTCTCAGAAACTGGGAGACCCCCCTCCCTGAACACAGATGCGCAGGGGTGGTCTCAGAAAGTGGCAGGCCCCCCTCAACCCCCTCTCCCTCTTTAGCCCCAGGGAGGTCCTGTTCTTCCTTCCCCACCCTCAGAGACCCGAATCATCAGGGGTAACTCGGGTCAGGGCCAACTCGGGGTCGTTTTTCGGGAATCCGAACCCGAGTTGCCCCGGGCCCGAGTTACCCCGCATAATTCGGGCGTCCAGAGCCCCAAATCATCAGGGGTAACTCGGGTCAGGGCTAACTCGGGTTCGTTTTTCGGGAATCCGAACCCGAGTTACCCCGGGCCCGAGTTACCCCGGATAATTCGGGCGCCCAACACCCTCTGGAAAATCATTTGGGGGGTCCAGAGCACCCCCTCTTCTTCCCAGAGCAAGGCGGCAAGCGACGACGACGACGACCAGCGACGACGGCGGACCACGAAGACGGACGCCGAAGACAACGACGACGACGACGGCGGCGACAACGACGACGACGACGCCGACGACGACGACAACGACGACGACGACGAAGCCGACGACGACGACGACGAAAACAACGACGACGCCGACGCCGACGCCGACGCCGACAGTGACGCCGACGCCGACGCCGACGACGGACGAAGATGGCCGTGGCCGTCGTCGTCGTCGCCGACCTCGTCCTTGTCGTCGTCCCCAACACGGGCCAGACCATAATCCCAGCTATGTCAAATCCGCCACAGACTACAGTCAGACCCCAAATAGGTCACGTCCACCATCGCCGCCGTCGTCGCCGCCATCGTCGTCGCCGCCGCTGCCATCGTCGTTGTCGTCGTTTCCGGCCCGGCCCGACCAAACCCGACTCGCTCGCCGTTGTCGTCGTCGTCATCGTCGTCATCGTCGTCGTCGTCGTGGTCACCGTCACCGTCGTTGTCGTCGTCGACGTCATCGTCGCCATCACGAGCCAGACCGGAATCCCAACTACAGGTCATATCGACCACGGGCCAGAGCCAAACCCCAATTATGTTACGTCCACTGTCGCCACCGTCGCCGCCGCCACCGTCATTACCGCCGCCGCCGTCGCCGTCGTCGTGGTCACCGTCGTCGTCGTCGTCGTCTTCGTCGTCGTCGACGTCGACGTCGTCGTCCGTGTCCGTCGTCGTCGCCGTCGTCATCGTCGTCGTCGTTGCCGCTTTGCTCCAGGGGGGGATGTTCAGGACCCCCCCCAATAATCTTCCGGGGCGGGGGTGGGGGTTGAAATTCCCCCTCCCCCTGCCAGCGGGTTAGAAAACGCTCTTTGGACAACATAAGGGTGCGGCAAGTTCGTGTCGTGACGAACCTGGCGCTGGTTTCTGACACCGCGTGGATCGGTCAACCTTGAACGATCGGCGACTCTTCGATCGCCCGATCGCTCCATACTGGCCGATTCAGGAGCCGACTGCCTTCCTCGATGTTGCAGCGTTTTTTCCCCATATCCTAAGATGGGGTTCTTGTTCCCCATATCCTAAGATGGGGTTCTTGTTATTACTTGGACGCCTCCTACTCCTCATTCTCCTTCTCCCCTCTTCTCGTCTCCTCCTACTTAGACTCACTCATACTCAGATTCACTCATACACAGACTTACTCATACACAGACTTACTCATACACAGACTCACTCATACTCAGACCTGATCACATTAACTTACTCATACTCAGACCTACTCATACCCAGACCTACTCATACTCAGACTTACTCATACTCAGACTTCCTCCTTCTCCTCCTCCTTTTACTTAGAGTTCCTCATACACAGACTTACTCATACTCAGAATTACTCATACTCAGACCTTCTCATTGTCTGACTTATTCGATAAACAGCAGATTGCGAGGATGTCTCAGGCGGGGCGCTGGTTTCAGCACCCCTAAGGGGAGCCGCCGAGGGGTGTTGCACGGTCCCGTTCGCGGCCGTTTTGTGGGGATGTCTCAGGCGGTTTGCCTGTTTGTCTTGCCAACATCCTTCGCTTGGAGCAGATTTGGAGGATGTCTCGAGCGAGGCGCTCATTTCAGCACCCCTAAGGGGAGCCGCCAGGGGTGTTTGCACGGATTTTGTGGGGATGTCTCAGGCGGTTTGCCTGAACATCCTTCGCTTGGGAGCAGATTTGAGGATGTCTCGAGCGAGGCGCTCATTTCAGCAGCCCTAAGGGGAGCCGCCAGGGGTGTTGCACGGTCCCGTTCGCGGCCGTTTTGTGGGGATGTCTCAGGCGGTTTGCCTGTTTGTCTTGCCAACATCCTTCGCTTGGAGAGCAGATTTGGAGGATGTCTCGAGCGAGGCGCTCATTTCAGCAGCCCTAAGGGGAG